GATTTGTTTATTATCACCCGAGGATGAAACCTATCGAAAATATTATATGTGATTTTGACAAAACTCTGTGTGACTGTTTGTAATCACCCACTTTAGAAGTCTCAATTCTTGATAGATATTCCCCCTTTTCTTTAAAACGAGGAAAATATTTAGCTCGAAAACACTCTAGATGACGAAGTAGACAAGACGAAGCTTTGTAAGAATCATTATTTGTACCAATTCAGATTATAACCTACAATATGCATTGCTTTATAATATTTATAGATGCAGACCTATCTTCACGTGTTGGATTCGTACTTCAGCGTAATATTATTTGGACCATTAGTTACTGCTTACTGGAGGGGAACTTGGGAGATAGCTGATGTTTATTTATTTCCTGATAATTCCAATTTGAGTTTTGGTGTATCTACAGCTGCTGGAGTCTTAGTGTATCTTTGTTTTAACTTTTCTCAAGATCATTTCACGAGTCTGAATTATAAGATGAGTTCTCCAATGTTTTGTATCAGTTCTCGGCTTCATGCCTACATCCTAGGTCATGCTATGGTTAATTATTGGAGAGGTATAATGGGATTCATGGATAAAATAAACAAAACGTACCTTTATATGGGACTAGAAACAATTCTATCTACCATTTTATTAGCTGTTTTAAAGGGTTCAATTAATGCGATTTCGGCACCACTCTTAACCATTCCTGACACAGGTCCACATGGTCGAAAAGATTATTTTCAGATTTCTACAAAGCTTAAAACTAAGGTAAATTCCCAGAATAAATTAGTTTGAATTGATATCTCAAAAATATTTCTTGAAACTTGCAGAATTACTTAGAGACTTATTTTACTACAATTAGACGTTACTTTATTTGCTTAAATTCGTACAGCTTTCTAACACCTACCAAAAAGCATTATTAAGAACTTTAAAAGTTTACGTAAACATTTTAAATAGTCTTAACGTTAAAAATTAACTTTTTAGTTTTCCTAATGCCCCCTTTTCTTTAATAACATTTCAGTCGACAGAATCCTGGAGTTTTTTTCTAGATTGCTGTTACTCAGTACTAATAATAAGTGGGTTGGTGATCGTACAGTGGCATGGGGTATGGGGATTGATAGACTTGATGATTGTACCTCAAGATCAATTTAAGTCAGCCTGGTTGTCTCTTGTTATTGGTTACGCCATGACTATGGTGTTATTAATCGTTCAATGGCCTGTAATGGCATTTGCGAAAAAAGCCAGGAATGAGACTTTTAAGTGTTACTCAATTATATTACTTTTAATAGAAATATTTATGAGTTTTTGTGGTACAACAGCCAGTGCTTTCGTGTGGCGTGGATTTTGGAATCTCCAAGACCAATTACTATTACCTAATAATTTGGAATTAAGCGTATGGATATCACATGGTATTGGAACTATATGTTTAATGATAATGTTTCATTTTAACACAGCAATTCAAGCAGGACTTGATTCGGACGGTGATATTATATTTAGTGATGAGCAAACGTTTTTTGATATCAAATTTATATGTAATATAATAAGATACAGTGGAAATATGGTATGTTATTCAACATAAAATGTTGCTTAATTCTATATTTTCCAATTGGCAGGCTTTGTTTTTCAAATACATGATCCATTATGTTATAAATGTACTGTCTTATTTGCAATACTAAAGTTGCAGCGTTTTATTTATTTTTGTGTAGTTGATGACTGGACAATAACCTATGCATCACGAAGCAAGTCCCCGAAAGGCAAAGATGACGAATCAATAATTGAACTATGTCCATCGATTGTTTTTTAAAACAGCTCCAGATAATCCAAAAGAAGCTGTATTATGGTCAAACCATTTCCTGTTTATATTTGCTGAATATTAATTGCTGTGATATATTGCCTTTAAGATGCGCCTTCGTTACGAGCATTCCTAAATCCAAAACTACTTATCGAGAACTTTATTTTCAGGTAGATATCGGAAGTGAGAAAAAAGAAGAAAATGAGATGAATGGTGATATACAATCATCTTATCTGTAAAAAAAATGGTAGCTTTATTTCACAATAAAATTGAATAATAAAATCCCTTGACGATCACTTTTGTATTGCCATTGTAACAGAAAGATACAACAGGAACATGTGATTGCTCATAACAAACAGTAATGTTCAAGGTGTGTTGCTACATGGAAATTTCTGTGTGGGTCTACGTTATTGTACAACACAATACACGACAATGCATCATTTCAATAGTAAATATATAATGTTGGGCAGTACAATAAATTACTATATAATTGTATTAATAAAATGTCGTGAAAACCCTTGTTGTACAGTGTAATATAAGACTATACATCATTTCAATGGTAAATATATAATGTTGTGCAATGAAATATAAAACTGTATCAATGTATTGGAAAATACCCATTGTTATACAATGTATGCATTGTTTTAAAAGCCAATGTTTTAATAGTAACTATCCAGCCGATCACAATTTAAGATTATGACTTTATCTGATTCTTTACGGATACACAGCAAGAGCTTAACCACATAATTATAATGATCTGTAGTTATGGTCGTTCTATTATATAATATTGCCAGGTGATTTTTTAATGGTAATTTTCAAAATTAAGTACAAGTCTATTCTGATATTTTAATGGTAAATATCCATTAATGATTGTACAGATAATGAATTAGTAAAAGTTTTTAAGTCCACTGGTTGCCAGGATGTAAAAATCAACTGTAGCTGAGGATCTTTCATTATAAAACCATTATCAGAAAAACGACCAGATATACCACGTGAATTAATCCATACAAATGGTGCTATGTGGTTTGTAGTTAATGTTACTGTAAATTCAGTTAGAGAGAGCGTTTCAACATTAGATATCTGAAATAAGAAATGGTTAGTTTATTTTTGCATGTAAATTTGGCTTTAACACAGAAAAGCACAAATCATTTCTACAGAAACAAAAAGTGCGAAAGCTGCTGACTATCTACCTTACCTTCTGATTATTATTCACAGAAGGCAGCAGAATAATACTCAATATTGCTATTGGGTTAGCTACCGGGTTTGAATCAACATCACTTACTTGAATATTGGACTGTAATATTCTACCCTGGACATCAGTAAAATATGATAATGGTAACCACGATGTACTGGTTGGATTATCTCTTGAGTTGAGATAAAAATAGAGAAAACAATTCTTCTTGTCTGTACAACCAGCTTCAGATAAAATATCATCTACATTCTTTTCAAAGATACATCCTGACGTTTGGTTTAACTGTAATTAAAAAACAAAAGGGTTACAGAAATGATCAATATTTGAAGTCTCTAATGTTCAAAATTGAATTATTAAAACCTGCGAATAAAAGTCCAGAAGTTTCAAAGATCATTTTGTACGCCGAAAAAGTGTCATAGCAAAATAGAGTTGATATTCAAAAGCGTATTTGTCTATGCCAAAAAAAAGAAAGAGATTATCTTAGAAATGACATTTGCTTACATTAAATTGTATTTCCCAAGATTTCAATGGTGACATATCTTTCCATGTCAACATATCAATATAGAGAGTTCCCTCTGAAGCTAATACAGATTTCTTCAGCTGATGAAGTAATGGTTTATGGTGGTGTTTATTATTTATCATCTGTTGTAGATATTTTTGGGGTCGGAAGATAACTTGCTGAGTATCAGATGTCCAATCTCTATAAACAGGAATCTCATCCAGAACTAAGTATACCGTGAGATTATTGCCATCAATGTAGGGTGAAATGAGATTTGGGTCATAAAACTTCTTGGCATAGTAATGTAGCATTTTCCATTTCATATCATAATCTGAGATGATAAAGTGAGAAAAGGAAATAAATTCTGCGTTTTTATGAGTACTGCACGTCGGAAGAACTTGATTGGAAAAACTGCAAAGTCTTTCGAAGGAGCAAACAGCGGGGTCTCATTGACTATTGAAAATCTGAAAGAGCTATCGCCTCCCACAGGCTATAGCGCAACTTGAGGAGGTAACTAAAAATTAAAACTATAGCATCCCTGTTTGTGTGAATTATGGACAGGCAATCAAAGACTCCTTGAAATAATCAAATCTGTACAATGTTATAAAGTTTAAAAATGGATGCCTATAATGCTTCTGCAACAAAGGTCAGCAACCTCTTGAAAAAAAAAACTCACCAATAGACGCCCATGTTGGAGCTTGCCATATATCATTTAACTGCCAATAAAGAGTTCCCATAGTTAGGCCACGACCATCAGTACCAAGTTGATTGGTGTATCTTCTGTAGTGTTCAGCTTCAGTTCTAATTGCCATGGCTTGATGAATCTATAAATTCAGAGATACGCAACAGATGTTCCGATCCTTTCAATTCTTAAAATTCCAATGGCACCCCGTGTAAGGCCGGTTTAACTAGAAAGATGGGGTTGTGAAATCTGCTCAAGTTGGAAGTGGGTGTTAACTTATCATCTACCACCACCACCAATGGTAAGGAAACCTTCGCTCGGAGTTGACATAATTTATGCACTCTTTTGGTGATGTGAAAGACTCATCTATAACAAATGTTTATGTTATTTGCCATGTGTAGTTAGATTTTAGAATAAGATTTTTAGACCTTAGATTAGACCTCATTCCAACAAACCTGTATTACGTAGATGAGATCTTGAAATTTTTGTTTCTGGTCTGATGAAGTTGGCAAAGAAATATGCATTGCTGTCTGATTTAACATTTCTTCATTTCCTAAAATTCAAAAAGAACATTTTACTCGCATAAATAACTAAACCAAGTATTAAAGATCTGAACCGCAAAACGAAACTCGAAATCCCCAAAAACATTTTGGCGTAACATGAGTAGAAGCTAATGAACATTTCACACGAGGAAGTATATGAGTTATAAGTGATACATTTCGGCGATGCAAGTGGTTTGAGGAAAGGATGTCAAAGGGAGAGATGTTTTGGCTAGCTTTATTTAGGTAAGTGTAAGTGTAAGTGTGTTAAATGCATAGGCTAATCAATCAAATTACGACACCAGATGATTTCAATCTGCGACAAATCCAAATATTTATTGCTACGTGAAGTTGGGGTACTGTATTAATAAGCTTTATCTATATGGTACTGAAAAGCAATTGCATCTATCTTACCGTTTTGATGATGCTGTCTATGGTTTGCCATCTCTGAGTTATAATCTAGATCAGCTTCAGCAAATACTTTCTCAATAGTTTCATAATTGCACCAAGCCTCTGACCCGAATTCAGATGCTAACCTGGGAATTGGGAATGTATTGAAATTCCATAAATCGGCATTGTAATTGTAGTAATGGTCTGAAATAAAGATAATGTAGGCAAATGTAGAGTATTACTATTACCGACAGTGAGGCGACCGGAATTACGGTCGACAAAAGATACATTCAAGGACCTAAATCAATATAATTTGTCCTAAAAATCAATAAAAGATCTCTTTCTAAAGACTACAGTGTCTTTATTTGCTCAAGTTTTTAAGTAGATTCAAAGCATACCGTCTCCATAATATTCTGAACCAGCATTCTTAGATATCCACCCCTCTTTCTCTGATTCGGCACCATTGGATGGACTAGACACTACGAATGGTCTAGAGGTATCCAGTGATTCCACTATTGGTTTAATAGTATCTACATATAGTGTTACATAATCCTTTTTATATCGTTCAGATTTCCTAAAACAGAGCAATGTTACATACCAAATCACCTTTGTCGACATCGACGCCATGATTAAGGAGCATTTTGTACAAATTTCTATGTAAGAAAAAGCGTGTTAATTCTACCCCAGAAACATATTTGCAATTATCATTACTATACACCAACATGGGTTCAAATGAAGTATTTTGATAAACAAAAATATTATGTCTGAAGTTATCTCCAGAAAACATTTTCGGACTGGAAAATGTGATATCCAGCTGTGAAATTATAAAATTTACTTACCCACTAACCATTCCTTCATTCTCATTGTTCCCAGACCATAGTAAAATACTTGGATGTGATTTGAGTCTTTCCACCTAAAACACATCGAAATAAGCCATTAACTGTGGATAAAAGTGGATTTTCCTAAATGCTATTTCAGCAAAGCAGGGGATTGTCGTGATGAAGAAGCGACCCTCACCACGATAATATTGTTGCGGAGAAGTTATAAATCCTCTCTGTGCACTTCGCAAGTCAGCTTTGTGGATTTCCATTAACTTTAGGCTCTCATTTCTTTTTTAAACTTTTCAACATCCTTTTATAATCCATCCTTCATTTGGTATTTGTAGGCCTATCTGTACATTTTGTGGTCATGTATTTCATCACTTGTACTGTACTTGTATATGTATATTCTCATTTGTACATCAAATTATTATGTTATATCTTTTTAAAACTGTGATAGCCTGTACATCTTTTTGTGGTCATGTACTCGTGTGTAATTTTTACAAAAGATTTTCCGTCATTTTTATTTACCTGATGTTGAATCTCTAGCTGTACACTTGAAAGAAATTCTGGTGTTGTTGGATACAGAGCATCACTAAACATTAGATCATGCCATAACATAATACCTAATTCATCACATAATTCATAAAACTCCTCACTTTCATAAACCTAGAACAATATCATTTATCTTTACACGAAGTCGAAAAAGAATACAGTTCAATGGGTCGAACACATAGATGAAACTAACCACTCGTCTTTCTAAAAGTACCAAGCATCATTTATGAGCTTCAATGGATTTGAAATGAAGTATATAATTGCTTGCATTTGCGATTGTGATGTATTTTGCAAGATACTCCGATACTGGGGTACTGAAACTGTTGTAGTTTCAGAGTTAAGGCATTGTAGGTTTCAAGAGAAGAAATTATAAAAAATCAAGTTAAAATTACACACATATTGTTTATCTTGCCGGTAAAATGATCTATCTGAACGAAAGAAAGATTTTTAAATGTACAATCGTAATAGATATACAATGAATCTGATGTATTTCCAAACATCCTAGAACATGGGATTACTTACTCCGCCGCCCCAAACTCTCATTGAGTTGATATGAACTTCTGCTGCCGATCTCAAAAGTCTTTCCAGTCTGGTTTTGGTGACCCTCTCAAGGAAACTGTCAGCTGGTATCCAGTTTGTCCCTTTCAAAAACACCGGAACGTCGTTGATTTTAAAATAGAACGTCAGACCTTAGCGAGAAAAAAAGAAAGTTAATTCTTGTCATACTAATACCTTGAGAGTTCAAAGTCAAAAATATTTAATATAATAATTACACCTTTTTGATTTCATCCTTTCATACAAAATTTGTGGCTATAGCGAGATTGGGTAAACCAATTACACTATTACTAATAATTTTTAAGTAGTTACCTTGAGAAGCATTTTTGGACACTGATTCCTGGACAAGCTCGATTGTTCTGAAACCTATTTTGATACTCTTCTCAGTTATAACAGATTTACCATCTAATGCTACATACTTCACTGTTAGATTGTATAGAGTTTGCTCTCCATAACCATTCGGCCACCACAAATCGATTGACGTTTCCTGAAATGTTACCAACATCATTTTTGCAGGTATGTTGAGCTAATCGTGTACCTTTAGGACTTTGATGCCTCTGACATCACCTTGGACAATTAATGTAATTAGTGTAATTATGGGTTTTAGCCAATAGTATATGAATTTGAGTAATAATGGGTACAAGAGAAGAAATATACCTTTGGTACCGTGAAGTCATAGTAAATATCACTAGAGATAGTACCAGATAGTAGGTGTTCATGGTATAAACCAGTTTTATCAAGTGTTGTTTGAACAATACCACTAACAGTCAGATTGCTGATATCCATATGTAAAACAATGTGTATAACCCAACTATTGTCAGCTACTAACAAAACAGAACATTTTCACATAAACTTCCATGATAAGAGAAGCACTACAGTGCTATATTCCATACATAGTAATATCAATAATTAAAAACAAAGATTTTGACTGCAAAGAGACCCGACAAACATCTTGTGTAACAAATAGCTTACCCAACTCTGGTAAAGCTGACACTCCTCTAACAACAGCTTCATTAAAATACTGGATAGATATATTTCTCCTTTAAGAACAAAAAGCTATGAAGTATTACTTTCGGGTGCAGGTAATGGCATGAATTCAAACACATGTGTTCATTCCGTCACATATTATAATAGGATGTAGAATGGTTATTGTATAAACATATTGCAAACATGGTACAACTTACCAAATTCCTTGACCAGGAAAAGAAGGACCCCAATCCCAACTAAAAGAACATTGTTCTTTACGTATAAAGTTTCTATAACATTCGCCGTGTTGAGCAGGATTAGGACAACCTGGTGGTATTGGATATGCTGACTGTTTTTCTAGTTCTGCTGCCATATTAACCGCGGACTTAAACGCTATGGTTATGTTGTTTAGTCCAGACTGTAACAGAGCAAGTGTTATGTGACATTGGTCATAGATTAAGCTTTTTGTGAAAAGCATGATGACAATGATGATGATGCAAAAGTTTAGTTCCTGATCGGTAATAGTAACAACTTATTGCATTAGGTAGTAAACGAACAAATAGTGGTAGGAAACTTTTCTATAAACACTATATAAAGATATGTATACTAATTATAACCTTAAGAGCTGCCTTTACGTCAAATACATATCGCAAAAACATGTTATCGGTCACTCCTATCTTTATTCCATTGATGGTAACAGTAGAGAACGTATCCACACCTTCTGCCACCAGGATAACTGCTTGTTTCGATAGCACATCAGCTGAAACTGATATAGAGTAGTACAAGTAGTACTTTGAAAAATATAATTTTTTTTACTAACTTTGGGAGCAATATTCATTAAAAATGATTTAGGCCTAATGTCTTTTTTGTTATAGCGAATTATGGGATAATGTCGACATATGAATTTGCCTCTTTGATCCACCGTAACTTTACCTTCAAATAATCTGGTATAGGTCCAATCATCTCTACCAATCCATTTATATTGTACATCATTATCTCTATAATAGGGATCATCAATAGTTTTATTAGCGATTAAAGCTGTGTAAATAGATCCTGGTACAATACCACTAACTCTATAGCCTGTAAATACAACGAATTATACAGAATCTCGTGTCTTATTTATACCTTCCGTATTTCAGTTATGGAAATTGACATCATTTGTGTAGCCAGTGGTAAACTGCAACAAGTTCAACCAAGGCATAAAATGTGCTTTTAAAGCTTTTAAAAATATTCGTTTTTGATGTAAAATGTTTTGATTCCCGAATTTGTGCACCACCTTTGGCGCAAATTTAGTTTCGATTTTTTTGTTTTTTCTGACCCATTTCGGACAGTTCGGACGGTTCGGGAATTTTCGGAATTTTACACCCACCGGCCCACGGTGTATATATTTTTAATCTGAATCAACAACCTTTTTTGTCTCCAGTCAGCATCCAACCTCTTGCATGAAATTAGTGCAGCGGTTTAGGATTTTGTACGATTTGTAATTTTTGAGCCTCAATGAACCAATTTCATCTTTACAAAGGCGGTACAAGAATGTTATCCTGCGCCTTTGTTTTGGAATTCCTGCTTACCTTTATTGGAATTGATGATATCCCATCGACCATTTAAGTTGAGGGTGTTGTCGCCTATACATTGTTGTACGGATAATATCAATGACAAAAATAAAACACCAGTGCTTACAGGCGACATTTTCATTTGACCCAAATAGCTTTCTTAATTTTATCAGATAATATATAGATTGATAATTAATGCTGTCAGCAATATTGTATTTAGTTTAAAGAGGTTGTCAGATGTATATCATGAACCGGTATATAACTTGTATGAAACAAAATCAAGGGGGGGGGGGGGGCAAATTTATAATTGTTCATGAGGACAGAATTGCCTTTGAAACCCCATTGATAGTTCTGTGTCCCACACTCGGACCCCTTACGTATTAATTGAAAAAAAAAGGCTCTGGTATCCTATTCCTTCTCATTACTCCAATGGACCGACTCCAGTAAAGCATTTTATGCTAATGAATGGTATATATGTATTGGTCAGGCTTTCATTCGACATATTAGAAAGTTTTCAACGAGATTTCTGGAAAAA